GGGGTGGCGGGGGGACCACTTCTCCAAAACGGACGCCTACGTCCGGGTGGTTTTTGGAGACCGAGAAGCTCGGACGCCCACGGTTTGGAACAACGACCGGCCCCGCTGGGGGTTGTGGTTGGATTTGGGGTTGGTGGAGTTGGCCGCCCCCCAAGCGGGGGGCGCCGTGGGGCTGAAGGTGGAGGTGTGGGACGAGGACAACAAGTGGGACGACGATTTGTTGGGGGTCTGCAGGGTGGACCTGGTGGCCGGGGGCAAGAGGGAGGTGGTGTGTTACCCCGGGGGGGGGCGGCTGGAGTGGGGCTACGAGGTCACCTGCGGCCCCTCTTTGGGGGGGCCCCTCTGCCACGACTACGTCCCCCAGAGCCCCCCCGGCGACGGGGGGTTCTACTACTTCTCCTCAAGCCTCGGAGAAGATGGTGGTGGCCCCATGGAGTGGCCTCGGGGTGAAGAAGAGGAGGAGGAGGAGGAAGAGGAAGATGGCGGCCACCAGGAGGCGGAAGGGTTGGAGGGGTCTTCAAAAGGCACCGGCGGTTCCTGGGGGGAGGAAGAGGTTGGAGACCCCCCAGGAGAAACCACTCTTTGGGGGGGCCCCTCTGCCACGACTACGTCCCCCAGAGCCCCCCCGGCGACGGGGGGTTCTACTACTTCTCCTCAAGCCTCGGAGAAGGTGGTGGTGGCCCCACGGAGTGGCCTCGGGGTGAAGAAGAGGAAGAGGAGGAGGAGGAAGATGGCGGCCACCAGGAGGTGGAAGGGTTGGAGGGGTCTTCAAAAGGCACCGATGGTTTCTGGGGGGAGGAAGAGGTTGGAGACCCCCCAGGAGAAACCACCGACGCCTTTGGGGTCCTACCAGAACCTCTGGGGGGCTTCGGGGAGGGGGGTCCGGAGGTGGGGCCATCCTCCAGCCCCATAGAAGGGTCTTCAGACCCACAGGATCCATCCTCCAGCCCCATGGAAGGTCCCTCAGGTCTCCAAGATCCATCCTTGGTCTCCACGGAAGGTTCCTCAGAGGAGGAACCGTCGTTGGGCTCCAAGGAAGGGTCTTCAGACCCCCAAGATCCACCAGCCGGCCCCATGGAAGGGTCTTCAGACCCACAGGATCCACCATCCAGCCCCATGGAAGGTCCTTCAGACCCACAAGATCCATCGTTGAGCTTCAGGGAAGGTCCTTCAGGTCTCCAGGATCCATCCTTGGTCTTCACGGAAGGTTCCTCAGAGGAGGAACCATCATTGGGCTCCAAGGAAGGTCCTTCAGACCCCCAAGATGCACCATCCAGCCCCATAGAAGGATCTTCAGACCCACAGGATCCACCGTCCGGCCCCATGGAGGTCCTTCAGGTCTCCAAGATCCATCCTCGGGCTCCACGGAAGGTTCCTCGGAGACGGATCCATCCTCCAGCCCCACGGAAGGACCTTCAGCCCCATAGAAGGTCCCCCAGCCCCATAGAAGATCCCCCGGACCCATAGGAGGTCCCCCGGACCCATAGAGGGTCCCCGGGACCCATAGAAGGTCCATCTCCCCCCACCTCCAAGGAGGTTCCTTCACACTCCCCCCAAGCTCCACCCTCCCTCCCCGGGCCCCACAACTGCCGTGGGGCAGGGTGTGGGGCAGGGTGTGGGGCAGGGTGTGGGGCAGGGATGGGATTAATTTGAGGTGCTTATTTTTGGGGTGCAGGTGCTCTGGGATGCTTTTTTTAGAGGATGCTGGTGGGTTTGGCACGCTCATGTTTTGGGGTGCTGGGTTCTGGGGGTGCTTTTTTGAGGATGCTGGT